ATGCACATTAGCGAGACAACTGGCCGCCGCCTGCGCTTGCCGTTTTTTTTTAGATCTTCAGTAGATCCAGATTGATGCCCACGATACCGACCAAGACCTACCAAGTCTCACGGCTATAGCTGGTCTCTTATATTTTGTTTTCCATAGTACAATGTAGAATAGTAACTGTTTATTGTATATATATTGTGTACTTTTTGTACTTTACATTAAATAGATCAAACTTGAAACTTCTTATAGATGCATGTGCGCTAAACCCATTCGGAAGTGTACAGCTAGTTGTTGTTATTGTTTCTTTACAGAAATTAAGTTCCATATTGTGAATTGAACATCAGAAGCGCAATTAATTAATTTTACATTGTCAACAACTAATGATAATCTCTATCGTACTTCAAAATGCACAAGGGGCTACATAATTATGTTACAATACTTGTTTAGGAGTACACTTTTTTGAAGTACCCGTTTGGGGTGTGAGTTTTTGAAAAATCCCGAGCGAAATCCTCATTTAGGGTGTACTTTGGCTTTAGAAGAATTCCTCGTTTAGGGGTGTCTGGAAAACATATGGTCACGCATGCTTACAGTATTTCTACATGACTGAGACCCCCGGGATAAAATTGTATATTGCACAAAGAAGGCGAAAGACCTGATGCATGGCTGATCTTCAACGAAACGGAGTTAAGTATTTTGTCAACTCTGTTTGTTGCTACGACAGGTAGCCAGTGAAAACTAACTCGTTTGATCAAATTGTGGAAATGCAAGCATTACTTTAAACAAACAGAACTTTGTAATTCCTTGCTCATTTTTCCTGATTGAGATGTCGTGGGCAGAAACTCACCTTTTTTAGAAATGTGATTTTCTCCTTGAAATTCAGATACCGCCCGCCAAATGACTTTTTGGTTTCCTCTCTTCAAATTGCTTTTTATCACTCATGCGTGAAAAATGCATCATATGAGTTTCATCAAATGAAAGAAGAGGATCTAAGCTTTCAAAATATGTGTCATTTATTAATTATAATTGCGATTAAGTTATGATAAAACATCGATAGTTCTCGGTTTCGTTTTTGCTGGGACGCACTGTACATACAAGTATGTATGTATGTTTACATATTGCGTCTCAATACAAGTTAAAATGAGATAAAAGATTGTCCGTGAAAAGTCTGAGATTTCGATTGTTCATCATTAGCTTGGAATTCCTAATGTCCGAATGAAGCCCTATGTGTAAGAAGTCGAATTTACAGAACTGACAGAATCATTTATTTAGTTTTCTCTTGTTATACATGAATGTAGAGTGCGTCTCAGAAAAAAACGAAACCGAGAATTATCGACGTTTGATCATAACTTAATCACAATTATGTTTAAACATACAGAACTTTGTTATTCCTGGCTCATTTTTCGTGATTGAGGTGTCATATGAAAGGGCAGAAACTCAACTTTCTAGAAATGTGATTTTCCCTTTAAAATTCAAATATCGTCCGCCAAATGACTTTTTGGTTTCCTCTCTTCAAATTCATTTAAATCACTTATGAGTGGCATCAAATGAAAGAAGAGGATCTAAGCTTTCCAAATATGTGTCAATTATAAATGTGACTACTTTTTGATAAAACATCGATAATTCTCGGTTTCGTTTTTCTTGGACGCACTGTATATATATATATATATATATATATATATAATTTAGTTGCCTAAACTTTCCTTCTCTCTCTGGTCACCTCGCTTTATATTGCACACCATTACAACTTAACTCTTCTAAATGAAGCAATACAAATTCCATAATCTACATACATAATTTCCATGCACAATACCTTAGTGTGATTCAACCATGGTCTCACTGTAGACACACTCTATATTTGAGTATTAAAACCAAATTCCATCCATGCATAAACTATAAAGCATGTCTCTGTCAGGTCTGTGTCAATGTCATGAGTAGTTACACTAGAGATCCTACATAGACCATGCAATCTACATAGTGTCATGCACTCTAATATAGCACTACAAGTGACAAAGGTAAGTTCCTGTAATCTAAATCAGCCCAGGTTTTTAACTCGGCGCTTGGCGCCAACGTAAGTTGCCGAACAACAGTTATGAAACCAGCCCCTTTCCGATTAATTCATTCTACTTACTCTGTAAATCTGCCATGGCCATTCGATTCTTTCTTCCGTTAGCAGGGCAAATAGAGGCTTAATAGATGTAACTCCTTGCATTAATATCTTAATATCAAGGGAACGTTTCACAAAACCGTCATAAGTACAATTTCACCGTCCTCCCATCGAATAGCGTGTTAACTTTATATACGCGCGTTTCAATGGGTTGATGGCGAACTTGTACATATGACTGCATTGTCCTCGCTCATGTTCATGCATGTACGGGCACAACGATCATGAAACAGTTGTATACTCCTTACACGGAAATTCCACATGGAAAGCTCGCTTCACAATAGTTATATAGAAATGAATCGTAATTTTCCATGCCAATTATATCGTCTACCATCATTTACAATACTCATTTTGTTGTTGTTGGGCTCATTGGCGCTATCCAATTACCATACATATCCAATTACAATACTTAATCCGCTATGATGATTATGTAAAAAAAAAAAAAAAAAGGCCTTGACATTGTTTAAGAACAGTGGCACAAAAGCATTATGGGCTCTTGGAAGAGGTTACAAATAATTTGCGCAAATAACTTGCGCAAAATCATATACAAAATGTTTACTGAAATGAATGGCTCTTCAAATGCATTTATATTCTGAATATTGCATGTCGCTCAGCGAGTAACAGAATATAAACATTGGGACGGATTTTGGTGTCACATGTCCGTGTAGCCCCATATACACCTTTCTGTAAACAGTGCTTGTAACTTTACCAAGACTGGGCTAAATTTCACATCATCTTGATAATTCCAGAACCTTGCAGTACACACCAATACGTATATGCCAGATAATCAACATTTTCTGATCGATTTCACACCTTTTCTTTCACAATGCAATTGCATGACCTGAACTCAAATTTATGTTTAAAGGAATCTGCACGAAGACAACCTGCAAGTTTCAGTTCCGTGATGATTCAGTCCGACCTTAAGGTATATCACACACAAAACAATCCTAATGAACTTCGTTAACAATAATGATATACGCTGTTACCCGTGAAGTTGAAGCTGAAATTCGATGATAGCTATCAAAAAATATATACTGGTCTTAAGGGGAATACCATCCTTTTATTTGCTTGCAGGCTAAGCAGAATAAAAAAAAAAACAGACGTTTAAAAAAAATTGCATTTGTGATCTTTGCTTTCTCACGATTTTGATGAACACATGTCGTAAAATGATAATTTTAGAGTTGGTAAAATTTCGTTTCGTATTAAAGGTCTTTTCAATCTTTCCTGATTGTGCTTAAAATCCATTCAGGATTGTTTTTCTTCTTTCTGAGATGAATTTTTGCGCACTACGACTTCATATTTACCATAAATATGAATATGCAAAATGCACATTAACTTTTAGATCTTCATAATAAATTGCAAAGTATGGTGCTTAAGCAGAATTTTGGATCATGCAAGGAGAGAAGAAAAGTATTGAAATTATCCCTGATAATGTAAACACAATATAGGGGTATTACTAATTTCCAATTGTTTGTTGTTGTTGTTTGGGGGGGGGGAGACCAAACAGTTAACAACTATATATCAAATGTTATTACTCGGAGTTATGGAAATTGTTTAAGAAATTTGGTATGATCTGGATGCAAGCTAAAATTTTGTTTGTTTCAGCAAGGAACTACTTTATAAAGACGTTATGTAAATAACAATCGAAACAAATATTCCTTTATATACATGGTTAGGAAGAAGAGTTTAATTCTCATTTTTAATCAATTGTAGCAATTGCATATTAATATCCGTAATTCCGCATTGAATGCAGGCTTGAACAACAGTTATTAAAATGATGGTGTCGTGATCGCTCGGCTTAGAAGCTCTACAGCTGGTGCCAAATGTTTCCAGTTTCCATTGATAAGATATTACATTTACGTATTCCCAACTCATTTCAAAAATGATAATTTAGTTATCTCGAAAAGCATAGTGCATTGATAATGTTTACATTTGGGAAGCCAGTGCACTTTACTGTATAATGGGTAATGCCTAAAAACTTTGGTGCAATTTCTCGACCAAATTAGATAGGCGTAATTTGTTGACCTCCCTTACAAAAAAAAACCATGGTAGTACCATGGTAGTACCATGGTAGTGCCATGGTATGGTACTGTACCATGGTAGACGGTATATTGGCCACGGTACATAACCATGGTACTACCATGGTAGTACCATGACAATTATTACGGTAGTACCACGGTATAGTATACTACCACGGTACTGTACCATGGTACTGGACCACAATACCGTGGTATATACCATGGTACTGTTCCACGGTAGTATACCACGGTACTGGACCACAATAATACCGTGGTATACCATGGTACTGTACCACGGTAGTATACCACGGTACTGTACCACGGTACTGTACCACAATAATACCGTGGTATACCATGGTACAGTACCATGGTATACCACGGTATATATTTTGTTCCAGTACCATGGTACAGTACCGTGGTATACTACCGTGGTACAGTACCATGGTATACCACGGTATATATTGTGTTCCAGTACCATGGTACAGTACCGTGGTATACTACCGTGGTACAGTACCATGGTATACCACGGTATTATTGTGGTCCAGTACCATGGTATAATTTACAAATCTACTACATAATTAAAGCACTTTCAACACAGTATTCCTCATAATATTTGCTAGCCCTTGTTAATTTAATTTTGAAATAGCATGCTAGTGGTCTGCAAAATAGACGCAAAAATGACAGGAGCTGGCATGTCCACTTTCAACTCAATTATCCATTCAGCCGCTTATCTCGCAAACACGATCTATTAACAAAAGACATCACAATAATGTTGATCATTATTGTTGAATGATCATATGACGTATCAAACATCAAACAATGGAAACAATATGTTTACTTTAAAAAAACATTTATTCAAACGAGCTAAAATCTAGCTCGCGTAAAATATATAAAACAATTTACAGTCGAAAACTGAAGTCTATTTCTATAGCGAAGACTGCCGCTTGTAACATCATTATACAGGACACTAAACATTTTCAGCACACAACAATATTTTAAAGTGGTAAGTCTATTTCTATAGCGGAAGACTGCCGCTCATATTCAAATTACATAGTACATTATAAAAAAACTGTCCTTCCAGCGGAGGTGCGAGATTCGTTGACGATGTCGTACACGAATTCAGTCGAAAGACGAAATTTGAAGAAACAGTTCCATAATGAATGATGAACGACAGTCAAGAGTCGGCGATGTCGATTGGATGTGGAGTCCGTGTTCGGCGATGGTGAAACGCGGTATAGAGTTTGACGTCGAGGGTGATTGAAGACAGAACGATAGGTTAGGTCATCATTAATCGGAGTCAGGATCAGACCTGCAAACGACGAAACGCAAATCGAAGAAGGTAAAAAGGAGGTTCTTACCTTTAATCAAAGTTCGATGAGACTAGTGTTCAAAGACAGAAAAAACGTCGATAATGCCAATATCCAATTCATTATTAGAGTTCGCAACAATCTTCAAAGTTCAAACGCGAAAACGGAGGTCGACGTCAAAGACATGGTGATGGTGGCGTTGATGTATATTGGTGAAGATGATGATAAAGAACGAGGTCGATATGGAAACTACTCATTTGTCATGTTGCGTCTATATCTGTAATTTAAAAAAGACAATTTTGAATTAGAGTCTATAAAAAATTAAAAAAATGAATATCAACAACTGTCAACATAAAATCACACAGTCACAGACGCAGACATGACATCGATTAAGCGTAATTCGTTAATATGCTGGGTTTTTATGCAGTATGTTCTAAAAAGAATAAAACATTAAATCCTGCGAGCAATGATACTATAATCACAGCAGAGTTAATGTGTATGTAAATGGACAAATTTTGCTTCGAATGATATCTGCCCCATAAACCCATCAAGATCCTACATCAAATTACGTACATGGGATCATACATATTCAGTCTTAATATCCTGTCGGAATGTGTTTTAAGTCCCAGTTAACACTGTCATAAATAACTATCTAGACATCGAGTAGATCTATGTACATATTGTAAATAAGGTAGATGATTCTTAAACTTACCCATACTGTTGTAGATTAGCAGGAAAACTCAGTATTCAGCATTATTTTGCAGAGAAAACACCAAGATTCAGTCTAGCTCCTGTCTAGGCAAAGCTACATTGTGAATTTATAATGCACACAGTAGCTATATAGTGTAGCTTGTGCGTGCACTATTCCCAATGCAAGCTTTGTACAGCGATCCTTTGACACGTACACAGTACACATAGCTAGCCATTCAAAATATGCGGGGTTATATTGCACAACGGTTCCACAGGATTGGCTGTGTGTAGTACGTGTGTGTGTGTGTGTATGTGTGTATATGTATATGGGGCCTGTAGGTATGACCTTCTTTATGATATTTCAAGCTGTTGCACAATTTCTAATGTACACACCATTGATAAATGGCCAAATGAAAATAAGTTTTCAACTCTTGCTTTCCCCTAATAATAATTGCAGACGTTTTAACTACATTAATGAATTTGTTAAAATAATAAACTTAAGTCAGATTGCTAGATGTATATTTTAATTGTCAGTTTTTCATTTCAACTAAAATCTTAGAAAACTTAAGGACTATGAAATTACATAATTGTACTGGATTCACGCGATATCATTTTTTTAAATACATTTTTTTCTTTCTACAATTCTTATACTTTTGTTTGAATATTTTTTTATATTCATAACAATTTTGTTTTTAATGATACTTATGAGTTTTTTTTTTTTTTTTTTTTTTTTTTTTATAATTCTTTTCAAATATTTTTGAACAATAATTATTATAATTGTTTTGATTTTTCTTCATGATTCTGAAATATTTTTATTTTCATTTTGTTATTAATTTTTATGTTGTTTTTTGGGGTTTCATGCGTCCGCTAATTTGTTGTTGTTTTTGTTTTCAAAATTTAAAGTCCATTCTTTGAAACAGATTTTGTGGGTCGGTGGAATTGTGTGCACGAGGTAACTTTGAGTAGGTCTGTAACACACTCGGTTATACTTCGTGTGTTTAAACCATGCCAAAAGTTACCTTGAGCAAACGATTCGGTATATCAATAAGTTATAAGGAAACTGAAAAAGAGCAAAAACAAATGACAAACTAGTGCCAAACACAGAATCATGTTAACCATGGTAGTACCAAGGTTAGTACCATGGTAGTACCGTGGAAGTCCGGTAGTACCATGGTAGTACCATGGTAGTTCCATGGTAGAATCATGCGTACCATGGTAGTACCACGGTTATTATGGTAATACCATGGTAATACCATGGAAGTACGGTAGTACCATGGTAGTACCATGGTAGTATGGTAATACCATGGTAATATCATGGAAGTACGGTAGTACCATGGTAATACCATGGAAGTACGGTAGTACCATGGTAGTACCATGGTATAATTATGCCTACCATGGTAGTACCATGGTTATTATGGTAATACCATAACAACCATGGTAGTACCATGGTATACCATGGTTTTTTTTTTGTAAGGGCTATCACAATCACACTTTACTTCAACTTTAAGCAGGAGTCGCCAAAGTTGGGCCTAAAAACTGCCCCGCAATTAATTAGATGTTTAATCCCTCTCATTCAAAGATTTTGGCAAACAATCTATTTTTAGTTTAGAGGCAACGTGTTATCGTACAATGATCGAATACAATTGCAGTTATTGAATATCCATGTGAAAATATGCAATCATTGTTAAAACGTGTTCATCCGTCATACACTAAGGCATTGTTGTACTGCAAAATGATTTAGGGAACAATAATGGGGAAATCCAATTTCAACAGCATATCACGGGATGAACTGAGATACGCTCCGACCTTCACATGTCATTGAAAAGTCTCTCTCGTTTGGTATATTGTCAATGTTAATATCGGTAATATAATTTACGAACTTTATTTTCTCAGTGTACCGTGGAGATAACTATGAAACACTTGTGACAGTCTGGAATTTCATTATGATATTATTCATAATGATCTTAATAAGTTTGTTATAATATTGTTTACTTTTAATTATTAATCAACACTGTGCAGTTTTTGAGCAGTGATCCTCAGAAAACCCATTAGTCACTTTCTGGGTCCCGCATAATAGAGCTCTTGTACACGTGGTAAATCTTATCTCTAAAGAATGTTGTGGTTACCTCCAGAGGGTGGGAGAGTGAAGGCTATACCGCCCATCTGGATGAGGAAGGGTAAAATCCACTCATTCCATCTCATACCACCTTTGAGACAACACCCATGCTATAGAGAAGAGAACTTGTACGATATTTGACTTTCCATGACAAATTCCATCCAATAGGGGTAAGTTTATATATTTATTATATATTGCCAAAATGTATGTTTTGTGTGTATTATTACTGTGTAATCTGAGAGAGAGCGAGAGTGCGATCCCTTTGATTTCCCGAATATATTGAAGGTAATTTAGTACTTTCTCTGAGATATATTCACTTGACTGTGTTCACAGCGTAAATGCATTTCATATTTCGTTGCATGAGAATATATTTGTATTAACATTCGCTATACATGTGCTGTATTTGGTTTGCTTTGTCTTGTGAGACAAAGGTCTAGAAGTATTTTATTGAACATGATTTGCATGGATACTTTGATATGTTTCCTCTATCTGAGAATTATATAGTTCCATTGATTTACTTAATCCAATCCTGCTTCATAAACTTCTGTCTGTATTTCTTTACAAAGAGGGTTTCACTATTGTTGTACTAGAGAAACATTGCCCTTTTTATCAGTAGTAATTGTACAATCCGTGCATAACTGTTGAAATGTTATTTGTTGGATAATTTCTGTAGGAACAGAGATAGGTATATTTGCTAAGCATATATTTAGAATTCATATCCAAAATGATATTGCTTGTCGAAATAGGATCATTTGTATATATTCATATTCAGTAATGATTATTGTCTTATATCATTGTGCTTTAAGTTTATCAGGAAAAGGTATTTTTAAGGCTTGTTGCTAGGCGATAGATATTCTTGGAACATTATCGAGTAGCAAGAACAAATCTGTCATCAGCCTGAACTGCTGTTGACCAGTTGCATTTTCTGTTGAAACTACACACAATGTGCTTCTGTGTAGCTTTCGGTCAATGTTTAGACTAGAGGTGATAGGTCACTCAGGAATGTAGTTACATGGCCAAAGGGGCTTAACCCCGTTCACACTATGGCAACTTGTTAGTTGGGTGTACTGTGCATTAGGAATGCATGGGTCTGTTCATACTAGAGATTTAATCTGATTTAAGTTTAGTTCGGTTTAACTTAATCTGGTTTAACTTTCATTTTTCACTTGTATTTCAAGTCGAGTCTCTGTCGTTAATAATCAATTGTTATTATGTTACACAATTGGATTTAGTTGACAAACATTATCGTATTTAACCAATTCATTTATGTTTTAACTTAATAGATATTAAGTGTTACTTTAGGTTTTAGTATATATATATTCTTTGATGCATTCTTTGTCTCTCACTCTTCTCTTCCTCCTTACTGTAATCTATATTACTTTACGTTTACATAACGCCATATTTTGTCACTTAATTGCATAGGAGTTTAGTTGAGGAAAACATTGTAATGTGATTATAGTAGAGTCAAGCTACCAGCTTACTACTTTTATTACTGATTGTTTGTTTATTGAAACTCTTTATGAATACGACAATTTATGATTCTTTATTTTCTATTTGTATTCTTTCAGGGTTTATCCTTTCTCGGGTTTATTTTCGAGAATAAAGTATGACATCAAAACAACCTGGACCACAATATTGAGTCTTCATTTATCTCACTATTTGTGTTACACACTTCACTAAATCAACTTCTCCCTTTCTCTTCAATTTTCTTTCTCTGTCCTATTTTTCACACATAATTATTAAATCTCTCTCTCTCTCTCTCTCTTGTCTTTCTTTTTCTCTCGTACTTGCTCCCTTCGTTTCTCCTCTACCTTTACCTGTCTTCTAAATAATCTCTTTCTCTTCCTTTTTCTCTATTTTTTTCCTTTTCAACATTAGTTTCCTTTTTCTCTTTATATCCTAACAATTTTTTGGGGCAAGACATTTGCCATGCTTCTCACACTCGACACATGTGAGGTAAATGGGTACCTTACAGGACCCACAGAGCATGGCAATTTATCTTGGTTTAAAATAATGATAGGAATTTACACAGACAAGTGAGCTAGGATTGCAATAATGTACCTTTATTGAGGTAATGTTTATTTACATTAGGAAAGGCATTATTTCATGATGAAAGAGTTATAACAATGGAGAGATATGACTAACACATGTGTATGAAACAAATTTCAGATTGAACCTGCATTGCTGTATCCAGGGTATCTTCATGGTTTTGCTGGTTCTGTCGTTGATGGTGTCAGGGGCTTTTTAGGCCACAGTTAGCATTGTGCATTCGCTTTGTAACTTTCATAAGAGCAATGGAATACAGTCGATGGTAATAATTTTACACCTTCTTTGTATTGTAATCGCACCGTATAATAATAATAATAATAATAATAATAATAATAATAATAATAATAATAATAATAATAGTAATAATAATAATAATAGTGGGTTCTTGTATAGCGCTCATGTCAGTCAGATTTGACCCTCCTGGCGATCCCGATTATAATTGTCTATACCGATTGATAAAACACAAACGACTAATATAACCATCATTACGATAGTGACTGATCATGAGCAGTAGCAAGCCGAATAATCAGCTTCAACGTAGAGGGCAATATTATAATTATAAACAATCATACTTTAATCAAGTCTGCCAAATACATGTACATACAAGAATGAGAATTAGAGATTCAAACTTTGTTAGCTTTGTGTTCTTTATTTCAAGGAAATTGGAAATAAAGAGTCACATCCTAAGGTTAATTCTTTATCTGAAAACACAAAAATATTCAAAAACCTATTCTAGACTTTACTGCAGAAACTCAAAAGGATGAATGTTGCCTCGCATCGAACCCAAGCCCGGTATTTTGGGTCAGAAATTGATCAACATTTGCCACTCGATCTCTACCCTTGTGTACTATTATCATGATTATTTTTATTATTATTGTCTTAATCATCACGAATATTTTCATCATCGATATTGTTCTTATTACTACATGACTTGTTATCACCAAGATAATAAGGAGATATGTAGAAAACATAACTTGACTTCGGGTTATAAACTAAAAACTCACGTTGTACTCTGCTGCCATTGTATGGCGAACATGTCAAGTTCGGCTTTGCTTATAAACATGTTTGTTCAGTTGAGTCCCATCCGGTTCTACCCGGAAACAAATGAATCATTCAAATATAACATAGTAAGCTGTGAATTGCTTATGCATACGGTTCTACAGCAGCTTGTGATAAAGTACATGTATATAGGCTAATGAAACAGTTCCTCTATAACATTGCTCTACACGCAATTTCCAAATGTGAGAATTCCCACATTTGTGTGTATAGAAAAAAAGTGTACGTTTGGACTTGTATTCTGCGATGCTGCATCGGTGTGTACGAGTTAAAGTTACATGTACGTGATAGAGGGGACGAGGGTTAAGGAGGTTGCGAACCTAACTAGTCTCCCCAAGGCCCTTTGTCTTTCCACATGGATTGATTCGATTAATTGAATGGTTCATGCTTTTATTTATATTCCATGCACACAGAAAAAGGGAAACGAATTAGAGAGATAGTAGTAGTATGGAGGGAGATGTAACTAGTACATTCTGTAGACATTATAGGCATGGGTGCAAGATGTAAAAGCGAACTAAATAATTTGACAAAAATAATCATTGCAATTAAAGAGCTGTCTAAAGGTCATTGTTCATACTGCTGTAGAAAATCAGGTTTAAGTGCATTCCTGAAATAAGTTGCTCTCTTTTTGAAATCATTTGGGGCCTGTTAAAGTGGAAACATTACTAGCAAGTAGGGTTCTCAATTTTGGAAGGTGAAAAGAGCCGGCAGCTTACCTGGTGGGGTAGCTGTGTAATTTGGTATTTTTTCTAAACATTGTTACAACAACTCTAGGTAACTCATCCTTACTGAGCGAAAACATACAAATCCCCAAATTATGGGAAAACAGGTCACGTATCTTTTACATTTTGTTAGAGTAAAAGAGTGTATATGTGTGTCAGCTGGCGACAGGGGAGGGGCCAAAGAGGGGGCCGGATTTGTGAGAGAATATTTAGCGGCGAAACAGCCAGCCGGTGAATAAGCGGGAGAGGGGGGAAGGGGCACAATTTGTTTTGGTTTTGTTTTTCCTCCCGAAAATGTGAAAATTGCGCCGGCCGATTATTCGCTCAGTGGGCAGGGAGGGGGGGGGGGGGGGGGGGGGGGGGCTGGGGGGGGGGGGGGGAGTAGGGGGGGGGTTGGGAGGGGGGGGGGTGTGAGTACTAATCTTCTTTTTTTGGGCCCTCGAAAAAAATATCGCACGCCCCCCCCCCCCCCCCCCCTCTCCTTGAGCGCCAGGTGAGGGGGCCCATCTTAACAAAATTTTAACGTAAAATTAACATGTTTTTAACTGCATTTTTTCCCCAGGGAGGAGGCCCGGGCCCCCAGGCTCCCCTTGATCCGCCACTGATGTGTGTGCTCAAAAGCCTGAATGACTTATAATACGTATGGCTTCTTTCTGCCTCAGTCCTTTTTTGGTAACAAGTTGGCACAACTGACACCAGTAAATACATTGAATACTCTCAATCCTAAGGTTGATGATTTCAACCGCAGCCCTGGGTTTTTCATTTACACATTTCCGTGTAAAGTGCAAGTTACTTTTAGCAGCTTTCTGTAGAAAGTACAAATCAGAATGTCATAAGCATTTCATGATAAAAAATGGCAAGAAAATAGTATAGGTCATCCCCCCAAAATGGGTAACACTACATATTCGCCAATTATACTGGTATACACTAATATACAGTGACTTCTGTTATACTCATTAAAATTTCTGTTGTGCGAATGTTTACTTCCTCATCCATGTTCAGAAAAAAAATGATAAGGCCATATGAATTCAGATTTTTTTCTTTCTCTAACCAAATACAAGTGCATCATTCAAAATGTACACAGTTATACAGCCTGTAGTCAGAGACAGGCGCGTACGCAGACGGGGGTGGGGGGGGGGTACCCCCCCCTCAAGTTTTGGGGTTAACCCCCCCCCCCCCGCCCCCTCCCCTCAATTTTGTTTTATGTGTGGGTATCGGAGGATACCCCCCCCCTGTGTTAAAGGATGAACAAAATTGACCCTACCCCCCCCCCCCCCCCCCCCCCCCCCCCCTCCCCACTGAACGAATTATCGATCGGCATCATTTTCCAATTTTCGGGACTAAAAACATATTTAAAATATTTAAAATATGTGCTCTTATATGTGCCCCTCCACCACCGCCTTTTCAGCAGCGGGTGAGTAGTTGCGAAATTTTCGGCACGACTTTCAAATTTAACCCCCCCCCCCCCCCCCCTTGAACAAATCCTGCGTACGCTACTGGTCAGATATATGGACTTTTGTGTTGCTCTGATAACGTTTGCTTTGCATGCTCAGTCGGTTATTGTATAGATTTGAACAATCGTTTGTGAACAAAGAAAGCTCCATGAAGCCTTGTACACATATAGCGTTTTCCCGCTCCCAAGTGGCGTAGATTGAGCTCAGTCATCGGGGGGGGGGGGGGGGGTAATCAGTCTTTATTCTTCTTTTTTTCATCTTTTTTTAATGTCAAGGCACTCTTTGGAAAAAATCAAAAGCTTCAAGTCACACCAATCCAAAATACTTCAAAGAACATTCACTTTGCATCATTATGGCACTCGTCGCTTGCCATGTACACATGTACAGACATATTTAGTCACATATATTTACAGTATGATATTTATCCGACGTCATAAGATTGAGTGAACATTTTACCCTAACATATTATAAATGTTCTCGATAATCCGGGAAGAATATTGATAACTTTAAATGTTATAAACAAGTCAACTGTACTTTTTTTTTTAGCTTGCAACGATTCACATTCACTCCAGGTCGCATTTTCATAACATGTCAAATTATTCAAAGTTTGGGCATTTCCTAGCTATGAGGGTTTTTTTTTTTTTTTTTTTTTTTTTTTTTTTGGGGGGGGGGGGGGGAATCCTGTACAATGTATACCAAATTACATACCTCAGAGCATGGACCTACTAGTAGGTCCATGCTCAGCGTTATACAATTTTTTAAAGGGATTTATTATGATCTGGATGCAGGCTATCATTTTTTTTGTATATGCAAGGAACTAATTCATAAATATATAAGGTAAATAACAACGACAACAAATATTTCTTACTACAATTCTAGTACTTGGTTAAGAGGGAGATTTTAATTCTCATTTTGAATCGATCGGTTGCAATTACATACTGTTTTCAATAGTTCCACATCGTTCCACCAGAGTTATTGAAATAAAGAGGTCGTGATCGCTTGGATCACTTAAATTTTTATATGTTTTGGTAAATCTCGACAGAGAAATGCAACTTTTTATTTCATATTCAAGGCTTTTCCACAACACCGGACCACTTAATGTGATTGTGGTTCGAGAAAATTGATACTTATTTATTTAGGTATGATAATGTGACTGGACAGTCCGGTGGAAAATGGAACAACAAAATCCTTTTCATAAACACTATCATCTCAAAACTTAGACAACATGTGCTTCCTTAGCGGATAAAATTTTGATCACGACATTATGAGTGAGGAAAAGGTGTACAATATTGAATGCAGGATGAGAATATACATGATCTTCCTA